TTCTCCATGCTGTTCTCAGCTATTCTTCTCCCACTCATTCTTCGTTATTCACTGAAGACTTTTGCAACTAGCTGTGTTTTGCTCTCTATGTCCCAAACCCTGCTGTGGTATAGACAAGTGTCGCTTCTTTTCCATTCAGTAGTGTTGCTTCCTCTTCTCTACTCAGAAACTTCCAGTGGCTTTTTCTGTCCCACATGAGAGAAATTCCAAAATCTTGGCCATGGCCTGGAGTGTACAGTGCTACTTCTCTGACCTTATTTCATATACTTTGTCATTCAACTCAACTACGTACATTGGCTTCCTTGGTATTCTTAAGAGTATTGCTAATATATTTTCACTTTAGGGGCTTTGTGCTTCCCTTCTGCTTGGAATGCTTTCTCCCAGATTTTATATAGTACTCTGTCACTTCAGTCAGGTCTGTATCCAGATGTCTCTACCTCTTTTGACCTCCCCTTCCAAAATAACATCCTTATCCTACTCTATTTTTCTTCTTAGTACTTACTATCTCTTAATGTTTAATTGTTTATACCACTAGAATAGGGAAGGAATAAGCTTTATCTGCTTTGTTCGCCCCTGTATTTTTATCTCCTCTGCGTGGCAGAACCCAAACTCAGAGTTTTCTCTTAATCTGTTGAGCAGTGTAAAAATATTACACTCTTCTGTAGATAGGTACCACTGTGTGTGTACGCGCTCAGTTGCTCAGTCATGTCTGACTCTTTGTGACTCCATGGACTGTATTAACTTCCTAAGATACATTTTTTTCTTAACCTTAACTGAACCCTCAGCATGGCTCAGTGATTCTGTGTTGTTTTAGTAATTCCTGTCTTCTGATTACCAAACACTTAATGAACTGGTTCTCTTGCAAGTTTTATCCCACAGTTCAGTTCAGTTCAGGCACTCAGTCATGTCCGACTCTTTGTGACCCCATGAATTGCAGCACGCCAGGCCTCCCTGTCCATCATCAACTCCCAGAGTTTACTCAAACTCGTGTTCGTTGAGTCGGTGATGCCATCCATCCATCTCATCCTCTGTCATCCCCTTCTCCTCCATTTCTTTATACTTGGATGGTGTGCTTACACTTGAATCAAAGTTATTTAATGTATTTTGTATTTGTATTCCCTTCATGCTCCATAGATAATTTAAGATAAAGGTAAAAATAAATGTAGGCCACTAAATTTAAACTGCAAGTGAATATTCAATAACCTCACCTAACCTATATACAATACAAACTTTGGTGTTAAGCATTTGTTAGAGGTGGCCACAAATCTTTGAAGAGTACTATGGCAGAGATTACTAGTTCTCTTGTATGTCTTCTTTCCTTCTTCTGCAGTAATAGAATACCTGAAATGTTTTTCTGGGCATTGGCCATCTGAATAAAGACTAGATTTATGATAATCTCTTACATCTGGGTATGGTTAAGTGATTATATTCTGGGCAATTGAATGTAAGCAAACGTGGTATGTGTAACACATATGCACATGGATTTATCTGAAGAATCCATCTTAGACCATAAAGTCACTGGGTGAGTGAAGGCAAATATAACAACAGGATGGAGGGAACCTGCCGTCTCTGAAACACCTTGGAGCACCAGCTAGTCCTCGAACATTGCCTTGGATTTTTGCTCGAGAGAGAAATAAACATCTATATTGTTTAAGCAGTTGTACTTTGGATATCAGTCACTTGCAGCTGAACTTCCTGTATTAATGCAACTATCACAGCTTATTTGACAAAAGGATCATGTACACCCCTGGGAACTTTTTCCTACTCTCCTGCTTGGGATATCATTGCCTCTTAAGCAAATGCAAATCACCAGCTTAATATGAGTTGTAAAGGCACCCCAGCAAACTTGTCTTTTGGTTTCATGTCTTCCTCAGATTTTTGGAGTGTATGCTATTTAAAGGAGATAAAAGTAAACAAGCAATTGCATAGAATCAACAAAGAACTAGAGTAGGAAAAGGGAGGTCCTACTCGTAAGAATTTAAAAGCAGGATATGCATTTAGTTACTTAAAATCACCTGAATCCAGAGATGAGGCTTGGTGTCTGTATTTATTTAACTAAGACTACTTCAGCAGTCTATGCATTGACTAATATGTAGACTTTAAAAGCTAGCTTTGTTCCTCCTTTCAAAATCAAAGAATAAATATTTCTTTAGAAAAACAAACCTGGTTGACAATATGATTCTTAAATCTGATCTTTATTAAGCTTTCCTTCATAAATTTTAATAGCATTAAAGATATTTAGTGAGTGAAGTTACTTTTAAATAAGTAGCTTAATTTAGCTATTTAACTATAAAAATGATTGCCAAAATATTATTTCATAACACTTTGGCAGTAAATACCAAGATTTATAAAGAAGTTAATTTTCTGTAAATAAGATATTTTCTTCCTAGAACTCTTTGCTGGTAGGAAAAAGGACAGTAGTTGTATTTCAGAGAAATATAAGTTTATATTCAAAATGAGATTATTAAAACTTGACGTAGCCTTAATTTTATATGGTGTTTTAGAAAATTAATAATAAAAAAAAATAATTGGGCAAGACGTTTAGTGAGACCGATCAGTGGAATAAAATAAAATATCCAGAAAGTAATACAAATTCACAAATGGACCTAATGTATATGATAAGGGGTAATTCAAAATGGTGGGCAAAAATAGACTATACAAGAAACAAATGGGTGTTGAAGCAGCTGGTCAGTCATCTGCAAAAAATGTTGAGCCATATCTCACAAGAGATGCTCAAGATTAAGTTTCAGTGTATCATAGTATATATAAAAAGATGAAATATAAAAACACCTCAGATTTGGGTAAGATGTTCTTATTGCAAAATCCATAAGAGTTATCAGTAGGTTTTTCATTTATTAACTGAAAGGAAACAAGATGATTGATGGCCACAGTTTTGGAAGTTTTCTGCTTGTAATCTTTTAGTAATTAAAAATTATAATGAATTATTAATAAAAGACACCTTAGTGAAACCCTAAGGAATAAAAGGGATTGAAGGAGGACCACAGATGATGGACACAAGGAGGTCTCCTGGTATGCAGAACATTAGTTGTTATGAGATTAAAAAATAATAAATATTAGAGATACCATTTTTTCAGATTCCAGTAAATTCTAAATTAGTATCACTCTGAATTATCTATGTGTATAGACTCTGTCCTTTACTGGTGACAGGAGTATAAGTTATTTCAGTTTCATTGGAAGGCAACTTTTTTTTTTCCATTTATTTTTATTAGTTGGAGGCTAATTACTTTACAATTTTGTAGTGGTTTTTACCATACATTGACATGAGTCAGCCATGGATTTACATGGGTTCCCCATCCCGATCCCCCCTCCCACCTCCCTCTCCATCCCATCCCTCTGGGTCTTCCCAGTGCACCAGCCCTGAGCACTTGTCTCATGCATCCAGCCTGGGCTGGTGATCTGTTTCACCCTTGATAGTATACTTGTTTCAATGCTGTTCTCTAGAAAAAGAGACACAGATGTACAGAACAGACTTTTGGAAGGCAGCTTCTTTGGAATAGCTATCAGAATTATAAATTCGTACTCTTTAAGCCAATAATTTGACTTTTACTATAAGGTTTATATTATAACCGCAAATGTGTGGAATGATGTGTTAAAGATTGTAAATTGCAGCATTTTTGTAACAGCAAAATATTATAAGCAACTTTAGTGTCCATCAGTAGAGGAATGTTGAAAATAATATGGTTAATGGCAGCCCACTCCAGTATTCTTGCCTGGAAAATCCCATGGACAGAGGAGCCTGGCGGGCTACAGTCCATGAGGTCACTAAAGAGTCAGACATGACTTAGTGACTGAGCACACATGTTCATATAATGGAATGTTAAACAGCTATAAAAAGAGAATAAGGAAGTTCTTTATATCTGACATGAAAAATCTATAAGGTATATTAGTAAATGAAGAAAGCTAGGTTTAATAATATAACAGTATAGTATGCTTCATATGTGTAAAGAGTTGGGAGGAGAATAATTAGTCATATTTGCCTGTATATACATTTAAAAAGTCTCTGAAACGACACAGACTGTTGGCAGTGTGCATGTGTATGTTCTTGTGTGCATACATGGATGGAAGTGGATGGGTTAGGGCTGGACCCAGTTGCCTTTGTACAATGAGAAAAAAAGTAGATACTGTTTCCTCTGGAACTTCTATTTCTGTCTCTTAAAATTTTTTTCTGGTATGCTGATTTTGTTAGTACCAGACACTTGGCAGCCATTCTTTGAAGAATTTTAATGAAAATAGATAATAGAAGGATTTTTCTTTTTGCGGGGGAAGGGTGGGGGGAAAATCCTAGGGTAAGCTTTTTATTCTAGTAAGTTTTTCTTTAGGAAATTTAACTTAGCCTTTAGTTCATCTATGATTTTTGATATAATAATTGCATACTTACATTAAAAATGTTTGATTTTGTTAAGATCATCTTGTAACTTATTTCGGGTAAAATTTTTATTGCTCATTAAGAAAGTGATATAGCTTGATGGGTGTACCTCTTAATTATTATTTTTTTTTTACTTTGAACCATGTGAGCTCAAAATATATGATTTGATGAAAATATGTTGTAATGAAAAAATACACAATTACACATTCAATATCACTCTCTTTTACTAAAATGTTTTATAAATATGTTTTTATATATATTTAAGTTAATATGTATGTTTATATGATATATAATGGTAGGTATTTAGCATATAGATGTTATATATTTATATGTATATCACATGTATTTATATATAAAATTTAGTAAATTAATGATTGTATGTCCATGTAGGTTTCTAGGCATGTATATGTATGTGTTAGGAAAAAGGGATAGAAGGAATTTGACCAGATTGTAGTATCTCTTAGTGTAGGATTTCAGATGATTTTTGAAATATTTTCTTTATAAGCATTTGTATTTTTTCACTTTTTATATTATATAAAATTGTTGATAAATGTTTTAATATTATTTCTTTAAGAATTTTTTACTGAAGTCCTTTTTTTTTCTCCATGAAAAGAGTTTTTCAGCTTATATCTTTAATGGATACCGGATTGCCTCAGTGTTCTAATGAGAAAATAGAACTTGCAATTCTGTGGTTCTTGGATCAGTTTCGTAAAACATATGTTGGTGATCAACTTCAAAGAACCTCAAAGGTAGGTTTTTACTAGAGATTAAAACTAGTATGATTGAAGAAAAGATGTTCACATGTAACACCTCTAAGCTGAATGATATATTTGAGCAGTTTCCACATAAAAAATTAATTGATCAATTGAAGTCAATTGATTAATTGTTATTGAAGGCAATGTGAAATTGCTTATCTTATGCTTCGATTTACTGTTGTCTTTGAAGATTGATTGGTAGTTAGTGAATATTTTTTATGTAGTTAGTCATGAAATAGTTAAGGTTAAAATACCATACTGAATTTTACCTTATTGTATTGTATTTCAAGGTTTAAAACTTAAGATTTACTCTTTTAGTAGTTCTGAGAGGTATTTATTTTGACATTTATTTATGTGATTTCTAGCATATTTTCCACTCACTCCTTAGCACTTTTACATGATCAATGATGAGGACAAGAAGAGTAAGAAGACAAGCCTTTGAGAGGCCACAGTTAACCTACCTTAGTGAAGGGAACACTTGTACTCTGCTAGTTGCAAGTTTTAGCATGATGTTTGGATAACTTGATCTTAAGACATTAAGGTATTATTGAAGGTGTTTATATGAACCTAACCAGATATTTAGTAGTACTGTGACACTTGAGTAAGATCCATTAAGTTTTTTTTTTTTTTACCTTCCACAAATCCTTCTCTGTAGTAAGTCCTAAGAATATTCTTACCTTCTTTGTATTTGTAGTTTGTATTAATAATGTTGAAAGATTAAGTTCTAGAAGAAGCTTTTTATATTGGACTGAGCTTTTTTGTCTTTGGAAAATTTAGCTTAACCTTCAGTTCATTTATGGTTTTCTCTTAACAGTAGTTGTATTAGTCAGTTTAGTTGCTCAGTTGTGTCCGACTCTTTGTGACCCCATAAATCGCAGCACACCAGGCCTCCCTGTCCATCACCAACTCCCGGAGTTTACTCAAACTCATGCCCATCGAGTCAGTGATGCCATCCAGCCATCTCATCCTCTCTCACCCCCTTCTCCTCCTGCCCCCAATCCCAGTAGTTGTATAGTAGTTTGAAAAGTCATTTGATTTTGTTGAGATCATCCTTTAGTTTATTTCAGGTTTTCTTTGTTTTTCAAAAAAGTGATGTGGCTTGATACTTTCTTCGTCAAATGTACTGTGTTATTTTATTGCTGTTTCAGGATTTTTTTCGTTCAGGATTAATATTAATAAAATTTTCTTAAAATTAAGCTAATACTGAATGAGAGTACTAGGGAGAAAAAAGAGTAGCTAGATAAAACTGTTTTAGGTTGACAATAAGACCAAGGAGAATCAGACAAAAATTATGTAGTATGAAATTTATACACATGGAATTATGATAAATTGTCAGGTTTTAAATGTACCCAGAGAGTTTGTATTTTGCTTTTGCAGAAGTGAATATGCTGGAAATATTACTTATCTAATATCCATTTGGCCTGGGTTTTAAGTCAAAACAGTGTAATGTAGAGTGGAAAAGCCTTCAAATTATTGTTTTTAAAGTATTTGGAAATAAATATGTAAAATGAAATTTTTTAGGGCGGTAATATTTGAGAAATTTTTTTCCCCAAAGATTCTTGTTATGTGTATAACTTTTAATACAAGGTAATTGTGGAAGAATGAGTCATAAAAGATGAGTATTTCTTTTCTGAAATTGCTGACATGTTAGGAACAAAGTACATCAGAAACACGCCATCAGACGGGGGTGTCTTTAGTGTTCATTTTACTCTGATGTGTTGGCGCATCTTATTCTGTTTTAAAGGAGAATTAGATGATCTTATTTCTGAGGCATTCATACTAAATAACCCTAAAGTGAAGCCAAAGCTTTCCACTTTCCTTTTCTTTTTGGCTTTTCTGCTGATCTGCCTTAGTGCACTGTTTTGAGAGAACCTTAATGTCTGGTCTGGCACTCTAGGAATTCTTCACATTCTCTCTCGGTCTTATAACAAGCCTGCAAAGTTGGCATTATTGTTCACATTTTGCTCTGCATACTGTTTTTCTGTCAACCAACTAAGGAGGACCAAATGAAAAAAAAATTTTGGTGAGAATATTACCAAATTCCATGTTTAGTGTGTATTTATTTTGTACCAGGAACTGTACTAAGCTCTCTTAAGCATTATATCATTTAACTGGGTCATATAGAGCATGACTTAAAGTTCTTTCCAATCTCTATGTATGTCATCAGTTTCATGCTTCAGTACTCCATACTTGTACTGCATACTTCATGTATACATGTATACATTTTCCACTTCCTTTAACTGTCTACATTCTCTTTACATTCTGGACCTTGGAGGAAAAATGTTTCGTCTGCCTGAGACACTGTGTTTCAGAATTCAGCTTCCACTCCCCCGCCTTACTCCACTAACTCCTGCTTATCTTTCACGTCAGATGCCCCATCCTTTAGGGTGCTTTTCTTAACCTAAATTCTAGGGGACTTCCTTTTCTCTTTCCCCTCTTTTAACATTATTATACTGCATTGTAACTATTTATCAGCAAAACACATATAGACTACAGTTTGGGTTAGGACTGTTCTGCCTTCTTTATTATTTTCACCTCCACATGCTTGGCATATTGCTTGTATGCTTTCTGATCATGGCTAAATATATGTATTTAGTGGAATTTTATAGGAATTGGGTCTAGATATCATGTATATTACTTCCAGGTAATAAAGGATATGTTTTTCAGTTGGAAAATGATGTCTACTTTGGTGAAATTGTTTGACAGTTTTAAGTAAGTTATACCATTACTAAGCATCTTGAAAATTTTATAGTCTTTATATACAAGATAATATAATTTATAGAAGAAAATGAAAAAAAAAAAGAAGAAAATGCTCCAGGAACCAAGGCGGGAATCATTGAAATGTCTGAAGTAATGTATAGAAGTATGTCCTTTAAGTGAGAAAGAGAAATCATAGGTAGTGTCTGTAGGCGTTAATTGACCAATTACTCTGTGCCAGAGACTTTGCTGGGCACTTAATATGCATCTAATTTCATCTCAGAAAAACTCCATGGAAATAGTTATCTTTATTAACAACTCCATCCCTTTTTACAAATGTGCAAACTGAGGCTTCAAATGGCTAATTAATATAATTAACTAGTTGAATCTAGATTTGAACCCAGGACATTTTATAGAACCTTTGCTGCTTACCACTTTGCTGAGTTGCCTCTTGCTAAATCTTTGACTGGGGTATTGAATGGGTCCTTCAGACTCAACAGGTTCTAAGAAGAAACTTGCTGTCTTAATGGAGAAGGAAATGGCTACCCACTGCAGTATTCTTGCCTGGGATGTCCCATGGATAGAGGAGCCTGACAGGCTATAGTCCATGGGATCACAAAAGATAGCAATTGAACAACAACAAGGCACTAGTCACATAGACTGCTGAGCACTTGAAATAAGGTATGTTATAAGCAAAGAATGTACACTGGATATCCAAGACAAGTTTAAAAAAATAAAGAGAAGTAGAATATACAGCATCTTACAATCTTTATATTGACTATATGTTAAAAAGCTATTGGGAATATATTGGGCTAAATAGAATGTTGTTAACATTTTTTAAAAAGAGACTGGATAGATAGCTAATGAATGAGAACCTTCTACTGCACAGGGAACGCTACTCAGTGCCCTGTGGTGACCTAAATGGGAAGGAAATCCAAAAAAGAGAGGAGATACATATATATATATATATATGTATGTATAGCTGGTTCACTTTGCTGGGCAGCAGAAACCAACACAGCATTGTAAAGCATCTAGACTCCAGTGAAAATTTTTAATAAAAAGAAATGGACTTTGCCAGCATGAAAACAGGAACCTTTTTGTGGGAGCCCTGAACTTTATATGTCTCAGAGAAAAAAGCAGGATGGCAGAGAAAAACTCTCAGCCTAATTTGGCCTAGTTGACAATAGTGGTTAATTCCACTTAAAAGAAAAATTGTTTAGCCTTGTGGGACTGATCTTATGACCTATATGTCAGGGTCTCCTATGAGCTAACCCTGATGAAAGGGTAACTGGTATGACAACTTCCAATGCTTCTGAGAACAGCTTGAGTTAAGTCTCTTTTTCCCAGGGCATGCCTCACATTCTCCAACACTGTTGATAGCTATCTCCTAAGACCTATCCAGAAGTCACAGCCCATGTGAAGTTAATCTGGCAGGTGGATAAGCCCTACAGGACTGTGGGCTTCCCTTGTAGCTCAGTTGGTAACTAATCTGCCTGTGATGCGGGAGACCTGGATTTGTTTCCTGGGTCAGGAAGATCCCCTGGAGAAGGAAATGGCAACCCATTCCTTTATTTTTGCCTGGAGAATCCCATGGACAGAGGAACCTGGCAGGCTACAGTCCAGGGAATCACAAGAGTCGGGCACAGCTTGGCCACTAAACCACCACCACCACAGGGACTAAGTGGAAAGCATAATTTATATATTTCTTGTTGTAATGCATGACATGTTATCTTTTCTGATGTTCAAATGCATTAAGAGTTAAAGATATAAATTCTGTTTTTTGCTTTCTCACATTTTAAGTCTTAACACTTAGTAAAGCTAACTCTGATAAATATTGTTTTACTTAGAAATCCTAAAGTATGTTTGACTATATCTTATTTAGAGAAAAAGATAGTTTTTAAAATTAATAAAGTACATAGATTTTTAAAAAACAGAATGTAGCAATACTGTGTACAGAAACATTGAGTCATAGAGAGTGTTGGAGGTTGTGGCAAGCTAGAGTTTATGTATCTGTTCTGTAGGGCATACACAGATTTCATGTGACTGCAGCTCTCTGGGTTAAGGCATACAGGAAGACCTGTGACCTTGGTCTTTACTCCTGTGACCAAGGTCAGTGTCAAAACAAGTAATCTGAGTTTCCTGGCTTCCTGTACCTCCCTGGCTGTTGACCTTGTGACCATCGCTGTACGGTCAGGAAGCCCAGGGCAGAGGAGAGAGAGTCTCTGTAGTCTTGGATGAGTCTTGTGACCCCGCCAGTGTCTAGGTGGGATGGTCTTAATTGTTCTCCAGTGTTTGCTGCTACTGTGGCAGGATTGACCTCAGCAAGACATGAAAAGTGGGAGATGGTTGTGTTGATATACAGTTGATTGATTTTTCCCAAAGAAATGGGAGATCTAGATTTTTATGTAGAACCATTTTATCTCTTAACAGCTTTACTGGTTTATCATTGGAATAAACTGCACTTATGTAAACTGTGGGGTGTCCTTGGTAATTCAGTGCTAAAGAATCTGCCTGCCAAGCAGGGGACACAGGTTCAGTCCCTGAGTCAAGTAGATCCCTTGGAAAAGGAAATGGCGTCCCACTCCAGTATTCTTTCCTGGAGGATCTCATGGACAGAGGAGCCTGTTGGGCTACAGTCCATGGGGTTGCATAAGANATTGTGTGGACAAAGAGGAGCCTGGTGTTCTACAGTCCATGAGGTTGCAAGAGTTGGACATAACTTAGCAACTAAACAACAATAACACT